TAACTACTCTCTCTCTCTCTCTCTCTCTCTCTCTCTCTCTCTCTCTCTCTCTGAGATAAAAAAATTATAATAAATATCCTTGTCCAAACTTGCTTGTGGAATTTTCATATTGGAAAATGTTTCTAAATAATAGTTTGAAATCTATCAAACCAGACTAGAGGGATCAATCTTTACCCATGTAATAAATTCTAATAATTTAGGATCCATAATGATGTTCTTTAATGGGCTTATTTGAGAAAAAAGAAAAATGGGCTATTTCAAATCGGATCACAAGAACCCATGCGATGTTAAATGGTTTTTTTATTGTCTATGTTAATTGTGAATGATGCGATGGTACTTTGCTGTAATTCGAGAATTTAAATACGGGAAAAGTTTATATAGAGCGGAGAGGGTCTAAACAATCAAATTTGAGCCTATCTCAAAACTTTCACTAGAAGAGGTTGTTTTGATGCTCTAATATCTTCAAATTGATATTAGGTTGAAAAAAAAAAAAGATTGTAAGTTTTGAAAATAGTGTATTTTGTAACATATATTTAGACCGTCAATTTTCAAGATTTTTAAGTTTTCATAGATCTATCGATCTACATTATTTTTTAAACTTTAAATTTTATAAATAAATATAAAAATATACTTTAAGGTTATCACAAAGATTTTCTGTAGTGAACTCACATTTCTCGAAACTATTTGAAGGTAGGTTTTAATTTGATTGTTTAGAGCCTAGGCTCTATACAAACCGCAACATTTAAATACTTGGAAATTCCATTCCAAGGTATTGGAAGCAAAACTGCAACACTTAAATACTTGGAAATTCCATTCCAAGGTATGGGAAGCAAAACCGCAACATTTAAATACTTGGAAATTCCATTCCAAGGTATTGGAAGCAAGGCTGACTCATCCAAATAAAGAAAAGAAACTTGGAGATTTAATCAAAAGGGAAGTAGTCCTGGATTCGGGAGATGCATTTCTGCATCCATCGAGGTATCAAACATCCATCTTTAAGATGGATGAAAAGTTGTGGTTCCTCTAAAAGAATAAAATCTAAAGGTTCAAAAAAATTTCTCCAAAAATTTATTTTTTTTAGTTTTTTGGAAAATTATCAGAAGTATACTTTTATTTTTGCCTAATTAAAAAAAAATCAACTTTCATAAACCTCATCCACACTTCTTTTTATTTGTTTATCGTGAAGCCTTAGCATTATGGTACTTAATAAGTACCTCATTTTATATGGCATTTTAAATACTGTGATAACTTGAAGTATTTTAAATGTCAAAAATGAGGAAAAAGGGTGTGGAAGAGGTCTATGAAAGTTACGGTTTTTTTTTTTTTTTAAAAAAAATATTTGTCAAAAATTAAAGTATATTTCTAATAATTTCTCCTTTTTTTAAAAAATTTTTTATCATAAATATACCTTAATGTTCGCTTAATTGGAAAAAAAAAACTTCAACTTTATAAACTTCATCCATACCCTTTTCCTCAATTTTGACAATTTTTTTTTACCAAAATGTCATTCACAATAGTTGTATTACTGTAATGACTACTGCATTACGATACTTTAAGCACCGTAATTACCGAACTAAGTATTATTATGCTAAAAATCCCGTAATGACCAGACTAAGTATTACAATACTTTCATTACTGTACTTTAAGTAATGTAATGACGATGATAAGCATTAAGTACGATAATGTTCTGTTGTGGCAAATGAGGGAGAAAGAGACCTAGTGTGCATTATTGTCTTTAAAGTACTGTAATGCTTAGCCTGGTCATTATGATATTTAAAGTACTATAATACTTAGTTTAGTCTTAAAGTACCGAAATGTGGTAGTTATTATGGTAATATGACTACCGTGAGGGCTATGTTGGTAAAAAAATACCAAATTTGAGGAAAAATGGTGTAAACAAGGTATACGAAAGTTCAAAGTTTTTTTTTCTAA